TGGTGAGCATTACATTTTAAGGTTTGATCTTGACATAATGTCATGCAGGCGTGGAATTTAGCCTTAGATTTGGAGTAGACTTTATCAAGGACTGTACGATAATGCGATGATGATTGTCGTGGGGTTCGTGTGGCGTAGCGGTAGCGTGTTCGGCCCAGACTCAAGAGTCAAGAGGTCGAGGGTTTGAATTCTGCCCGATGCCACTGATCTTGTGCCCCTGGGAAAGGCACTTTACACGGCTTTCCTCACTTCACTCAGGTGTCAATGAGTACCTAGCTTCGGTTAGGGACGTCCCTCGGATAGGACGTTAAATGGAGGTCCCGTGGTTGGGAGAGCCACAACCCACGCACGTTAAAGAACCCACCACACTTATCGCAAAGAGTAGGGACCCTTCCCGCTCTGAGTGGTTCAAACCGTACATACTGACTAACGGTGAACACTGCTATCCGGCATCTACTATTATTGCTATGTGTATCGGATGCATGTGAATACATCGTACAATATCATTTCTATCAGGTCAGTACCTGTACGCTGGGTCTCACTACGTCGGGCATCCGCAATACCAGATCCACGCGACATTGGAGAACGCTGCCGAACCGGACTCCACCCTCTGCGGATTGTCGTTCTACTATTTCCTCGGGTCGGATAGCTCCAACCACCCGGTCTCCCTCTCAGTCACCACGGGAAATAGATCAGACTACAACAGATCCGACATTTTCTCAGTCACGGCCATCAGATCCAGCGACTGGCAACTGGCAACCATTGCCATTGATGAATCGCAAAATGTTTCGTCGGTGGCTATAGTAGCAAGGTATTGGAAGGGCCAAAGAACAAGCGTCTCGATGGATGAACTGAGGACATTCTACTGCAGACAGAGTAAGTTTTGTTCCCATTGTCCTTTCAAATCCATTTAATTTCATTGCGCTATTTGGATACGCAATGTCATTTATTGCAAAATAGTTAAAGGAATATTTACCTAATTTTGTTTGCAGGCATTCCATCCACAGTAATAACAGAAACTGTTGTTGAAAACAACAAGGAGGGCGGCATTGTGTACAAAGGTGAAGATGGAGACTTGAATGTCGAAAACTGTAAAATTGTTGATAACGGCATGGAGACTGTTGACACAGCGGAATCCACACATGCTGTTTCCCTGACACTGATGAAGACTTCCCTCACCTTCAAGAATAACTACGTCGCACACAATCAAAAGGGAGGCGTGAATGTCAACATATTAGCCGGAACCAACTGGCTCACCAAGTCACGAACTGTCAATCATTTACTTTTCAATAATTTCATTTCCTACAACAACCAATCGGAGGCGCTGGTCATACGGGGCAACGACGATGATGACGACGACGACCTCTCCGTGCAACTGAGGGGTAACACAATCAGTCACAACTGTCCTGAAGACACCAAGAGCGTTCTCAACATAGAAAATGCAGGAGGGCGAGTTTATCGCAACACCCTCTACAACAACACCGGCCTTCATGCAGTGAAATGGACGAAGACTGTAAGCAACGAGACAAGTGTGTTTCACGGGAACCGTGTGCTGTACAACTCCGGGCAGTCTCCATCGGCAAGGATATCAGTCGTAACCAGCTCGGGTATCAACTATCACAGCAACAGATTCGTCAACCCGGCCAACAGCTTTGAGATGGGCAGCACGGATAGAACACAAACCTCGTCTGTAATAAACGCCACGATGAACTGGTGGGGTTCGGCCGACCAGGAAGTGATCAGACGGCGTATTCGTGACGATGACGTTCAGCCAGGACTAACCGACATCTTCTTCATACCTTTCCTGACAAACCTGCCCCTCGTTACATCTATAGGTTCGTATGCTGTTTCTTGCATTCTCTCTGAATAGGAATGTTAGAATCCTATACTGGCCATCTATTCTATCATTACGACCAATTAGTGGGACGAGGAAAAGTGGTTTTCGTAGACAAGTTGTCTTCTTATACAAAATCATAGCATCAAGCACGTGCATCAAGATAGGACAGAAAAAAAATGCAGAAAGATTTTTGCCCATCGCAGATAGACTGCCCAATTGACTCAAAGCGCCATTTTACATTGCACAGAGACTGCCATGAATTTACATTGTGCAAAGACTGTCACTGCAAACTGGCCGAGTCAATCAACACATCTCGCCTGTTATGATCAAAATACATTCTAAGTCACACGTTGCTTGAAAATGGCAAGGTCGTCATAGGCAGAGCTATCGATTGGGCCGTGTGCGGTCCCAAATAGTGCCGGTCTCTTTTTACTTTAGTGATGGGGAAATCGGGACCAAGAAAAGCGGTCTTCATGGCCAGATGGCCTGCTTATAGACGTAGTCGCTTGGGCAAGTTTGACTATCTGAAATATCTAATAGCATTCATTTTTTAAAATACCTTTACAGGAGGATGCCCAAGTGACTGGTATGCATCCACGTTCGGTTGTTACATGTTTGTGGTTGGATCACTCGACTGGCAAGAAGCTCAACAAGTTTGCATAGTAAGTTCGTCGTTATTTACAATGCCTTCCATTGCAAAATACGTAATGATTTCTGGTATTCTAGTTGCTATGTCTGTACTGCCTCCCTCGTCCCAGTTAGAAAGTCAAGCCCAGTGATGAACCGGGACGAGAGGGATACAAACTTAGCCATGTTTGAGATTGTGTTCTCGCCGCAAAAGCGCCACCTACATCGGCTACATACATGTATAGCGGCAATAAGCAGTATCCCAGTCAGAAAATCTGAGGAAGGTGTCTGATAAACATTGAAAGATAAGCAGGTAACATAATAACGTACAAGTTGTGTAAGAAGAAAAATCCCCATGTCCAATTTATTTTGACTCTTCCACTTCAGGCCAACGGTGCCCAGGTGGCTACCTTCGCGAGCCTGGAGGAGGTCTCGGACGTTGTCACCAATCTCATCTTCGAGGCGGGTGATCGGGGTGAGGTTCAAAAGATCTGGATCGGCAGAGGAGGTCTACCGGCAGTCGTCACAGAGGCACCCGGTCCAAATGAAGAGTTACTAACCGTGACCATTGATGATCCCCAGGAGGTAAGGAATCAACGTTCAATAGACGTGTATCTTAATGGGGAAAAGAGACTACGTACATACATAATACAGGATTGACTTCGTTTCTGTACGCCTGTGCCACACAACTGTACAAGCACTTAAGAAGAGGGCTGTAGGGCTTGTAAAGTTGTACGCACGGTTACGTTCTGGATACTTCAACGTATATCTGCCTAGGGCAACTTTTCATTTCTAGTTACACGGAGTCTATCCAGAACTGTGCTCGATCCTATACCCGTACCCTAACACATTCAGACAGTGAACGAGACATGCACTATTCTGAATACAATGTGGTCGATTCTTTAAGTATAAAAAGGTAAGCGTTGCCTAAATCTGGTCAGACTGCTCCCAAACGTCAGCCAACCTTGGTTGGTCGTTGTTTGCTTGGGGAAAGGTTCTGAATGTGTGACAGGGGCTTACGTTCTCTGTTTTTTACACAGGTATCACCTGATATAGGCAGGCAGAGCAGCACAGTGGTCGTCTTGATTTCTGACATACCTAACAAGTCCACGGTGACGATTGAAACTGCCGTTGCTGAAACACAAAGTAGACGCAATCCGTTTATTTGCAAGAAAGAGCTTGGTAAGTGACTGTTTCGTGAATTATCAGTTTAAACGTTTACACTTTTTTTATTGTAGTCGATGACGGTTACAGTGAACAAACCATACTTTCGACCTAATTTTCTCATGTATCCATCCGCGCTGGGCAAACAAGGCCTCATTACACAGGTCTCTTATTATTATGCCTATTAAACTTGTAAAATTAACATGATTCGACCAAAGTAGGAAAGTTTAGACCCTACCGGTGCCTCCTAGCCCGAAAGTATCTAAACTGTACAAAAAAGTTTCAAGAGAAAAAAAAAAGGCTTTTGAAAGATGTAAACTCGAGACTTCATTTTGTTCCCATTTTGGGCCCTCCAACGCAACCCAATAGTGACGTTTCCTCTCTAATTCTTTTTCTGCAGTTGTCCGCTGCCCGTTTGCGTGCTTCCACAGGGGACAGTGTGTCGGCAGGACGTGTATTTGCAACAAAGGCTGGGAGGGTGAAGCGTGTGCTGAATTCCACTGTAGAGATGTCAACAACTGTGGAGCGTTCGGAACCTGTGTTGGACCAAACAACTGTAGGTGTAAGTTTGGATGGCAGGTGCGTATGGCAGATTCATTTTATACTACATTAAAGGACATCATCACCTACTTCTAAAGTGATGTTCTATGTTATAATTACGAATGCCCATTGTACAGAGACATACATCTGCAAATGAGATACAGATATACATGTACACTTAAAAGGGATGACATGTCCTCACAATATATAACCACACTGAGATGTAGTGGAAAAAACTCGTCTACCAATCCGTCGACTACAGATGTTTCAGAGAGAAGAAACATGTAAATCATCAATATATGTAGATGAAATATAGCATAGTTTCCCTATTAAGGATTTCATTAAGCTCCTGTAGCTATCTTGCTGCAAGAGGCATGGATATGCAATGAAATTAATTCATTAATTCATTCATAATTAGTTTAATTATTGCAAATATACCTTGCCAATAGCGCACATTGCATCATTGTACATTATCATTAAATTCCAGGGACGCGCATGCTCTGTGAGCTACTGCAACCGCTTCGACACATGCAGAGCATGCGCGAGAGAGACCGGATGTGGATGGTGTGATTCCTCTCAGCAGTGCCTGCCAGGTACCGGAAGTGGTCCAGATACGGCTTCCTGCCCCGCTTGGTTTTACTACGGCTGTTTGAGCGCTGGGGCTACAGAGACGTGTTCGGGTCAGATCCAGGTGAGGGAGACAGCAATGCATTCAGCATTTTCCTATTCTTATAATGCGTAGCGATTCCGTATTCGGTATGTATGAGTTCCTTTAGTGTTCTTACATCCGTTGATAATCAAAGATAATGAAAGTTGATCCCTTAATCCCAATATGATACAGCATATTTTGAATTATCTTAAGATATAGTTATCTTCTTACTACTGACGGGATAACGCTACCATTTAGAGAGTTACGCTACGAACCACATTCTCTCTGTTTACTAGAAATATTTTACACTCTATTTGTTATCAGCCTTGATCTGTAGAAAGTCACTTAATTTTGAACACAATACACCCTAACAACTTTAAGAAAACGCAGAAAAACAAGTTGTATAACGTCAACAGTATATCGTAGAACCACACAATCGACTCCCTAGGCATTCCGGTATGCATCCTGGGAATGGGAAACTTCAAGGTTGAACGTATCGATTATGAAAGTTTGGAGAAATGCTTATTAGTCATTTGGCTCTGCATATTTGTGTTACTAGTGTTTTACTAACTTGTATACGTAACGCATGCTGTTGATCGTGTACAGAAAATCGACTGTGAAGGGCGGCAGTGCAATGAAAGTCTGGCTTCATCAAGCATAGCAACGTGCAGCAAGTGTCTGGACTCTCAATACTGCTACTATCAACCGGTAGGTCCTAGACAGTAATCACATATATATTTTGCTGATTTATCAGTTTAACTAGAAATGTCACATTTGCAAAGTTAATGCTTACTCAAACACATTCATATATATGGTCTGACAGAAGTCTAAAGCCCTCCTTCTATAAAATTGCAACATGATGTAACTAGTTACCATGGTGACAGACGTCTGGTTCAGTTCATTGAATATATTTGTTTGGAGAAGGGGAAGAAGATGAAGAAAATGAAGGAGAAGCAGAGCAAAAACAATGTTTTCTTTCTGCGAAAGTTCAGTTTCTTTACTAAGAACTTGCACTGTCTCTGTCTCCATTGTGACGTTTCATTTGCTTTTTTTTACTTCCCGTTGTAGGACGCTTTAGGTTGCCACGGCTGGAACGAGACTAGATGCCCGCACGGAGAAGTCAGCCCAGACTACGGTGACACATCAAGGATTAACCGTGTCCAATGGAGAGACAACGTCCGTCCCATCGATCCCAACGTCACCACTCTATTCCTTTGCCAGGTTACTCTGGCAGAAGAGTACGGTGAACAGGCGGTACTGATCGTGGCACCCACGCCACTTGATTTCGCTGTTGGTAATGTTATCATCAGCGGTCAAGCGGGCGGGATAATGCATCGAGTTCAGGACATTGGTCTAGCAGGTGACAGAAATGTCCTGATATAAATCATTATAATCATAAACAATATATGAAGAAATCATAATGATAGACTGATGTATTCGTCGTAAAAGTGATCGGGATTTATACTTGAACTAACGTTATATGACAGGATAATGTATAAATTAACAATTAGATAAATTCTCTTGGGATTCAGACGATTCAGGTAGTATCTGGTATCATTCATCATCAATCTTTCATCATGACTATCTGAAACCTTTGATTCTTTAGAACATTTATCCAGATGCTTCATTCATGTTGTATTATGTGTTATGTAATGATCGAGCTGGATGTCTAAACTTCATTGGCATGACTTAAAAAATAGATATTCTATAGTATTCATCATAACCACATGCGTTGATACTCTAAACACAAAAACTTGGCTTGAAACCCTGTGTTTACCATGCAGGTGCATACGCCTTTGTGGTTGGCATTCCCGCGGCTCTGGAGGAAGCGGTAGCCTATAGCGACTTCCGTCAAAACGTGGAACTGCGCTCCATAGAAGACAGCGTAACTGTAGAGGACATCCCTGATGAGGACCTACTGACCAGCGCTCTGAATGGCAGTCTGGCTGTGAACGTTACCATCAAAAACATACCGGAGGGTGAGGATATCCAGCCTTCTGTTATGTAATAGTATTTCCATCATAACCATTGTATATGTTGTGCCGAACACTGCCGAACTTTCCCCAAGCATGGTTGGGTGTAGGTCGGGACCAAGGTCGGCTGTGGTTGGCGTGTGTTCGACAATCGAGGTGGGCCAGCTGAATATCTTAAAATGTTTCAAAATTTCAGAAGGTGCAGAAGGTTGGGCTATAGTTGAGGACTAGTTGGCGTCAGATATGACTCAAATATAACTCAAATTTTATTCAATTGGTATCAAAGGAATCTGCATGGTCAGCTCCCAACATACCACATACTTGGTCGATTGGTGTTCCGAGGAAGGTTCTGAATGTGTGACAGGGGCTGACTTGGTTAATTCTTTGAGCAATGGATGGCAAACAGGACACACCAATTTATCCATTTGGTTTCGATTATGTTTTGATGTCGTTCTTTTGTTTGCTGCTGTTACAGATCTAGATTGTATATCTCTCTATCTCCGTGATTGCAGGTCATGGTTTGAAAACATATTTCTTTATAAAGATTATATGCTATAATGTGTGTAACAATGTCATTGTGCACATATCATGACAGGAGTTGCCGTTTACAAATGTGTTGGAAATGTCCACAACACCAATGAAGAGGACGATGAGTGGAAGTCGGAGTTCCTTGTGATGAACTCCAGTCAGTACTCAGAGCTGAGGGTTGGAGACTTCATTGCGAGTACAGAGACTTCAGGGTGGATGGAAACGGTTCAAGACGTCACCGAGAGTCCAACCTTGCTGTTTGTGACCACGACATTGGCCAGGTGTGGCGATGATGTGCCGAGAAAACCAAGGTATTGAAACGACGAGGTTTTCTTTAATGATACATGATATGTGAATCCTCATTTATAAGATATGTTACATAGTCAAGATAGTAGAGTGGATACATCCGCACTACTTCTTATCATTAGGCATAAATAGCCATCAGGCACACAGATTGTACCTATGGTAGCTGGGATCATTTTCTGTAAGTTTGTATGACTTCGCCACACATGGTTTGACAGGTTCACAATGAAACCCATAATTAGCTCACCTATCGGTGTCAAAATACCATGGACTGCTAGATACTGCAAAGTTAGAGTACATATTAACCAAATGTCTGTATTTAGCTTATAGCTGGATAAAGAGCTAAAATATTGACATGTTACAAGCCACAACATATCTTTCCAGAAATGGTTCTCACAATGACATCTGAGGAATAAGATGCGACAGAAAGATGAAAACAATTATCATTATCAGAGTTACTTCTTAGATTAGCATAATAGAGCAATTAGAATGACTTCACATTGTCCTGACAAACTACGAACCTGCTTGTGTTTCTTTGTACAGGCTGAGTACATTCAATACCACAGAAGAGGTGTATTTGGGTCCGGATACTTCGTGTATCGGTGGAGACAACAACCCGGCACTGCTGATCTATGACAACACATCTCGGGACAACTTTGAAGTGGGCAACACCATCATTGGGAGGCCGAGCGGACCCGTCCTATCAAAGGTGCGACAGTAGGAGATAAAACAGTATAGTACATGATGAAGTTGTATTCAATTTGGTTTCCACTTTCCAAAGCTAGATTTGATTATTTATCCTATTTATTTTGTACTGAAATGTATTTGGATCTTAAAACCGTGTTAATCGGTGTTATGGGGATAGGTTTATTATTATTTGTATATCCCATTTACGTGCGTATGCTATATGAACATCCGTTGAACGCTCGAAGATGTCGTACTTCCAAGTTGTGGACTTTCTGATACATCGTAAACTACCTTTCCAGATTATTTCCCTGACTGACAGTGAAGGGTTGGTGTACGTGGAAGTCAGGGCGGTGTCTACAGTGGACGATTTCTCCAGTGAATCAGACGGGGATAACACGACGACTTCTAGAAAACGGCGAGCAACTATTGGAGATGCGATACGCGGGGCTACAGTGAACGTTGCAAGACGCACAAACGTTGAGGTAAGGTTAACATTTGCTGTAAGAACCTCTACTGTACTCGTTAAGATGATAGGGAATGATCCATTGAACCTGAGCACCAGCTACACAATTGACGGGGCGGCCTAGAAGGAAGCCCTGCAGTCGGGAAATAGGAGATGGAGCCCTCCATGGCTGAGCCAGTTTTTCTGATTCCAAGCTGTTGTCACAAATTGCTCCCAATTACGACAACAGGGAGCCGATAATATGGATCATGGCACCAAGGCTAGATAACTCCGAGGTAGGTTAGATTTCTTGAGTAAGTCCTCTCGTGTGGTTTCGACCGCAAAAGTTTTCACAGACATATCTGCAGGAGAAATCTGTGCACCTGTGATAGACTCTATGCGAGACGTGGGCGTGCTATTGCTAATAAGTCGATGACATGAAAAGCAAAGTTCTTCATTCACAACCACTTGTTTATCACTGAGCTGACGTCTTGACGACCGCCAGGGCAATTATAATTGTTTCACTATATACAAGTCATAATTACAGCGATAAAGTTGACATGCGGTCAGTGAAACGTTGCCTCTTGTGACCATTAATATAAAAAAAACTATTCAACCATTCACCAACTTAATGAAATTATTCACAAACTTCCTTACTATGTTTCAGAGATCAGGCAGTGGCACCCTCAAAGTGACACCATATGTGACCTTGGACCAAGGCCTGGAGCTCAGTCTGGAAGTTGGACTGGACTACCCTTTTGTTCAGTCGGCGAGTGTTCGTCTCTTTGGATCAGCGAGCATCGGCCTGGAGATTCGGTTTGACTTCGAGGGAAGGTAAGATCACGTTTTGATATCTGTGAATGTCTATCGCACCCCATAGGGAGTAAGCCGGTTATAGGAGTGCGCGGGTTGGAAAACGTACTTCCATAACCAGCAACGGGCAAATTATTCAGCCTTGGCCGATTTCTACTTCTAGTATTTTCAAGCAACCCATTGGATTCTGGTAGCTAGGCACTTTGAGATACATCTGTAGTTTTATTTCAGAATTGGAAGTGTAAAAATATGTGTTAACACCAATGCCAAACAGGTGATTACTTATCTAGCTACTGTGAAAGGTAACCATGGAGAGTAAGTGGCGGAAGCTGTAGACCGTCTACTCGTATATATATATACGACTGGTTTATTTGCAAAAAACACATACTTCATACATAGTACAGTAAGTTGGAAGCTTTTTTTGCAGCCGAGAGGCTGAATTAAGCAGCTTTTACAGTTACATATACATATACATATTATAAAAATGTAAAGCATGGCATATACATAGCTTGTGCGTAAACATCACTTTTTGAGCTAGACTAGTACACATTTTGTGTTAAAATTACAACTATTAATTCTAGCAAGACAAGAGCCCAATACAAGACTGTGAAAGGTTTTAAAATCGTTTTTAGTGTAGTGATTTTAGCTGCCTTTCAATCTGATGCTACGTTTGGGGAGCAACCGTAAATTATCCACATACCAGCTTTATACTTCATACAACCATGCTCCCTGTGTTTACTATATAGTGCAACAGTGTCGTGGCCAAAGAACCAAAATAAGCCCTACAGGAAAGGAGTAGCCAAGAGGAAGTTTTGCATTCCTGTGACCCCCCTGTTCTGTCTTCCGGGAAGAATACTGTACGAGGTTTATGTGTCCGTTGTGGCAACGGCATCGGTAAGTAGAAATTGTACATAGATGTCACACATGATGTTTAAAATACGTGTCTCGCTTATAGCTGAGAACCTTTCGTCAGCTTTAACAATCATAACGCGGTTTGCTTTGCATATATTGTAAAAGGTAAAGGCACTAGCCTTCTAGAGTGGGTTTCTGAAACCACTGTCTAGTGCACGGTATTGCACGTGTAAGGTGGAGCCAATGTGTAAAGCGCCTTTCGCAAGGAATTCAAGGAATCGACCCCGTGACCTCTCGACGCCACGTGTCTTGTAATAACTTTCAATTCAGGTTAGGTAGGTCTCTAGGCGCCTACATAAAATCTGTTATTTTTCTGCGCTACAGATGTGTGTGTTACAGGCTTGACTTGAACATTTTCTCTCTCTTCGTTATGTTTCAACTTACTACTGTAGGTGAAAGGATTTGTATCCGTGGATTTCGGCATGTCAGGTTCAGCAGCTATGGGCGCGACGTGGAGACATTCTGGAGGCGTGACACTTGAACGTGACGTGAGTCGATAGACATGTAGCTTCAAGTCTGGAAATACCATCTGGTACTCTAAGTCACCCATATAAATAAGAAGGGCGAATCTAGAGCGATAAACTAGATCCCCTTTTTCACATGGCCAAATATTGCATCCCGTACACTGCTCCGGAAGTTCATCCAACCTTGGTTTGTCAGTCAACCTTGATTTGTTGGTGCCACCAATGGACCAACCAACCAACGTTGGCTGAAGTTCAGGAGCAGTCTGACCAGATTTAGGCTACTCGAACCGTTTGATACAAATCGAATCAAATTTGAGTTAAACTTGAGTCAAAATATTGTAGTTGGAAAGTTATGAATGACAGGTACTTGATTATACAGTATAAGTAGTCCAGTAGATCTGAAGCAGGTTTTGTTAACACTGCATTTTAATGTGGCCGTGTTATGGTACCCCGCGTAATTTTAGAAGTTGACGTTTCATGCTACCAGTCTAAGAGTTTTGATTTTTCGAACGAATGTTGGTCATCAAACTTCAATATTCATACGAAAGTGCATATGAAAACAACAGCAATGCAGCTACAATGTAAGTACCATCTGAAAATGTCTGCTGCCAGTTACATACAATGTACATGATACTGTCGTATCCAGAACCGTGCCTTTCTAGTTCTATGCCTAGATGGATTATGATTAGAATCAGGATTACGCACGGTCCTGGATAGTCTCCGTGTATCCAAGAACGTAGATGTGCCTCAAGGACTGTGCCTGAGCATGTTTCTGGGTGAATTCACTGTTTTGGATTACGTATCGTGTGTACAAATCAACTTGAACTGTAATTTCCACCTCAAGAACTAAGACTTACCAAATATTTTGACTGTATAACTGCAGTCTTTGTCAATGAATTAACAACTTTTTATATTTGTTTTGCTTAACCGGTAAACCCCCTTTTTAGGCTTAACAAACCATTTTTGTGCATGCTGCTGTCAGGTTTAAACCACTCACGCCGAGAAGGACCCCTACTCTTTTCGATAGGTGCGGTTGGTTCATTAACGTGCGTGGGGTGTGGCTCTCCCAACCACGGTACCTCCATTTAACGTCCTATCCGAGGGACGTCCCTAACCGATGCTACATGTAGGTACTCATTTTCACCTGCTTGAAGTGAGGAAACTCGTGTAACGTGACTTTCTCAAGGGCACAAGATCGGTAACATGCGTAGGATTCGAACCCTGGACCTCTTGGTCCTCAGCCGGTCACGCTGACGTTTACGCCACATGACGCAATTTACCATGTTTGTTCGACCATTTTGCAGTTACAACTCCAACCACCCAGACCCACGTATGACGGGAAACTGGAGGAGGCCACGGCGTCCATCACAGGCACCCTGACTCCAAAGCTGATCGTCCAGATCCCATCGCCCGCATTGCCTATCAACATTCCGAGATGGATTCGAAGGTTCCTGCCGAGGAGTATTCAACGCTTGCTCAGTAAGTCTACGCAAACGTACTGTTGATGTTGAAAGTATACAATGATGACAAGTCACGAGTGATCAACGAAGCAAATTATCAAATAATAATTAATGGTCACGTATAGAAAATGAAATTATGTCACCAAAATTTGAACAAAATATGAAGATAATATTTTGACCCTGCCTCTTGTCAATAATAGAATTACTTATTTCCTGCATTGCACAATGATGATGTTTGGTGTTTGAAAAGCATGCAATTTTTTTTTTCTGTTTGCTACATCCTGCATGCCTTCCTACCTGCCGATATTGCTTTCAATGTATTTTATTTTGTATCTGTTAGCCGTATCTGATCATAATGTTTTGTTGTGACCTGCCAAGTGGTTATCTATTCAAATATTCCAGCCCCTGGGCAAAGCACGGGGAGGTCCGTGGTCTCTGTCATCGTGGCCACTGTGGACCTGCCGGTGGTTGCAGAAGTGTCAGCCGAGGCCTGCTCCAACTCCTGCCCCGTTCCTGAGGAGCCGCTGAAGCTAGCTGCAAGGGTCGGCGTGGGAGAGGTTGGGGCGCAGCTAAACATCGGATTTGAAAATTTCAACTTTGATACGGGTCGTCTGTCTGCAAGTCTTCCTTTTATTGCAACACCGAGGTGTGGTTTGTATAGATGTATCAGGCGTTTTCAGTCAAAAGTTAATGTTTTATCCAGATATCAACCAGACTATACTGAAACAATAGAAATGACGGTAACGTATACAAATAAGATAGAACCATGGAATATACAGATACACAGTCTAGAAAGAAAGTAGTTCTGTCCTGTTGTTCATGCGTCAGGACAAACCCAAAATATAGTAAAACCCAAAGTTCTCGGAAAAAAAGTACAGCTTTTTATAGATAGCCTATGATATGATAAGTTAACTCCTATTTGAATTGACTTTTGCTTTTCTTTTTCCACAGCAAATGTATTTCTCAGGAGCCTCCATGTTGTATCTGTGACGACGGTAAACCAGGGAAACAGGACCCCGAAACAGACGAGTGTCTCTGCGAATGTTTCTGCGATCCTCCCGATAACACCGTCATGGGATTAAAGGTTTTTGTACCATGATTCCTTTTATTTATGTTATAAATGTTACATAATGGATAACTACTATTTATGTACTATTTTATCTTTGCATTACCATTCATTGGTACTCTCATACTATTTATCTTTTGCGGCACACTATTGACTACTTGATACCACGGTGTCGTGCGGCCCAAACATGATGTTAACCATGTCCTTCCAAATATACATTTCTATAAATATGTGTGTATCATAGCCAAAAAGTGGTGGTGAATGTGACTGTGAACGTTGTCCGGACAACTCACTGAAAAGGAAAACCGGCGACATCGAATGTCCATGCACCTGTGATGATGGGCAGGAAAGAGAGATGGAGGAAGACGGATCGTGTCCTGTAAGTAAATGGGATGTAATACGTTCCGAAGTGCTCCTGATTAGATTTTAAGTGATGGTTTTTTTATTTAGACTTGTACAGACTATAACAAAACAACAATAAATGAGAAATTGAATTTGCTGATCCGAAGGGACTATTGTTGATTTACAAATACAAATATACGTACTAACTAGACACCTGTGGTTTATTTGCAGTGTGAGTGTGAATGTGCGGACGGTAGCACGGACACGATCGCCGCGGATGGAAGCTGCCCCTGCCGCTGCACCTGTAAGGACTGCAGCGAGTCTGTGTTAGGACCGGACGGCTGCATCTGTCCTAACGATAAGTACGGGCAATGAACTGATCATATGCATGGGAGTTGTTGCGTCGGGTGGTGTAGTGGTTAGAGCGTTCGACTATGAAGCGGGGAGACCCGGGTTCGATCCCGAGTTGTACCTGGAACATGTCTGAACATGCGTCCCGACGTTGTACCCTTGGGAAAGGCACTTTACACGACTTTTCTCACTCCACCCAGGTGTGAATGGGTACCTAACTTCGTTTGGGGAAAGTCATATTGAGGTCACCTTGTGGCGCCGAATGGCAGCGCACAGACCCTTGCGACAGTTCCACAAAAATTTGTGGAACAAATATGAGTATCATGTGTATTATTTGATTGTTGTGATTTGTATTGATTATTGTGTGATACCCTGCATCAATTCAGCCGTATAAAGGCTGCGACTGCACGGGTACTGTTTGGACAATAAAAACTATTTATCATTATTATGGACACTAAAGAACTTGTATTGCGGGTGGAAAATATAAAATGCCAATTGCAATCACTCTATCTCAGTGCTAGATTGATGCTGTGTATACAATAATGTTTTTATAAAGCTATTGCTTTCCTGTGAATTGTACTTAATTCTGTGTTTATGTATGTGAAATATTGAAACTTTACTGGGGAGTTATTCAAATTACCTTTAGTGGCCCCACTGCTAGTCTTCCTGGAATTCACATTATGTACAATAGAGGTCTTAATTCATCCATTCAGTTAAGAGATATCTCAAGACAGTAGTGATTGTGGGGAGGGCACCTGGTGGGTTGGGTGGGTACGTAGGCTTTTGGAATATAGATAGTGTTTTCCTGACAAAATATGCCATTCGGTTGTACGCTGAGAGCATGCATATGTCAACGTTTAACATTTTGGACCTCCCTGATTCTGTCTTCCAGCTGCCCGATATGCCCGGATGGAAGTGAGCCGATCTCCGTGAACTGTGAGTGTCAGTGTGAGGAACCTGATCCTGACTGTGGAGAACCTCCCGCATGCGCAGTGGGACGGAAAGGTCCCGGATGTGGCCAGCCTGACTGCGAACCTTGTCAAGGTGAGCCCATCAAACTGGTCTGTATCTGTAGAACCTTTGATTGACAAAATATCGTTTGACATAATATTTCTTTTTTTCCCAGTAAGTCCCACCTCTTGAATGTCTTGTGGAAAGAAATACATTGTATTTCTATAATTTAATTGTATTGTTTTGATAATTGAAAGTAGTAAAATCATAGTATAAAGGTTAATCTTTATTCCAACACACAGTTTACAGAGAGATTTTAGGCTATACACATGTACCACACCACTTTACCGTGCTTTAGCCCATATATTGTGTATTATGACATTAACAGTACTGTGATATCACCCAACCTTTAAGTCATGCATGGTTTCTTTGCTGTTAACGTGATGTTTGAAATTGTGAGCAGTTATTGCTTTAAACATACTATACTAAACAAACAATACTTTAGACATATTACATACTTGCCGGAGGTCTCAGATTTCTTGTTTGTAATTTGTTCCCCTGTTGTTGATTTGCAGGTTGTTCCGGTAACGGTGTATGCTCGCCCGTTGGGCAGTCCTGCGCGTCGTCCTGCCGCTGTAGCCCGCAGTGGATGGGCACGTGCTGTGACATCAGGCGGCCTCGGAGGGCAGGAGGAGATCCACACATGGAAACGGTCGACGGTATGTATTCTTCAGCTCGTTCTAAAAAGACTGAAATATGGCTCGAACAGTCATGGAAAATTATGTGTGTTTAAAGTAATCATACTACATTGCTGAGCTTGATTCCATCACTATAGGGTACATTAGGATAAACTTTTCAACGACCACTGTCGCATAAAATCAGGATAAAAATGACCAATCACTTCCGAAAGTAAATCGTGGATAATTCTAGACACGTGAAATTTATAATTCACACGAGACTTTACGGATACGTGAATTCAGCAATTGGTCACTTATTTGTAAAGCCTGGAAATTTTGGCCTTGTGTACCCTTATGTTGGGATTTAAGGAGGCCCGAAAGGATTAATACTGAATCGCGCAGATTAAAATGAATATGTAGATTATCCCGTCCAATGCAGCGCTAGCTGGTATATGTAATAAATTCAATTTACTCAATTGCATTTTTTTTTCTCCAAAATTCGACTTGGCTGAGCTCATAAGAAAGAGGAAAATATGATCCCCACGCAAACTTTAAATTTAACAAAATGACAACCCTGTGCTTTAATCGCCAGGTACCACCTATGACTATTACGGCATAGGAGAGTTTTGGGACTGTAAGAGTCGAGTGAACGACTTCGGCATCCAGGTACGGTACTTCCTCTACGAGCGAGCGTCATTTACCGGCGCTGCGGCCATCAAGGCGGGAGAAAACGTGGTCACAGTCACAACACCGACCTACGGGGCTGCCCAGGACCTCCCCACTGTCAGGTGATGGGCCAACTTACTAGTAACTGCGTGTTTTCTGTTTCACATCAATATTTTGAAAAATGAAACTTATATTTTGCCTTTATATTTACCTTTGCAGAAGGCAAACATGTGCATAATGTGTTCCTTCTTGTTCTCTTTTTCTTTTTTCTTGTCTTCTCTAAACACATAGGGTTAATGACCTGAACCAGATGTTTGTCACCATGGCAACTGGTGGTGTTGGGTTATATTATATTGCAAGTTGCAGGACGGAACTGGAGTGGCTGCATGTCTATGTATAAGAGCAGTAGTTTGTAAGGCTAGGTCATGAAATGGTTAACATTATGCACTTGCTTTGCAAATGTTACCTTTCTATTTCTACTTGTGACAGGCTGGGTTAGTCACACGTTTTGGTGCGTTGTACATGTGTGAATGTTACATACCAGAAAAATCAATGTCATAGTAATATCTAAATGTGCGATTTATTCTACCGTCTCGTCATCATTCTATCCACTAAACAGGTTAGATGGCATCGCTTTGTCGTTGAGTGACAGTAACCAGTACAGGTTGGGGAACGGGTCGGTACTGATGGACATTCAGCGGCCGGAGGTAAACCTGACGACCGGCGGTGGAGTCCTGCTGCTTTCGTTTCAGTACTCCTCTGGTACGTCCCGTATCGCCGTTGGTGAAAAATCATCTTATCATTGAATGTACACATATTCCAGAGATGGAGACAAATAGGATCGTTTGATTTTGTGGATGTAATTATAACTATGTGTAGTTTTAATTATACAACTAATGCAATGGCCAAGTGGGTGGAGTGCTCGCCTTGCATTAGGTAGGTCGTGATTTCGATCCCCGGCCGAGTCATACCAACGGCTTTTGAAATAGTACAACAACTGCTTTCTCTGCTTAGCACTCAGCGTTTTGGAAAGAGTATGATAGTTGAACACACACCACTACCAGTGGACTGGCCTTCTGCTGTAGTGATTGCACTGTTGTGTGTGGCCCAGGGCTACTGATACGATGATAGACACTGCCCTATGCGTCACCTGATGTGGGAAGGAACTTAAATGTTTAACTACATGTAGATGTCTTTGATTATCCCAGCTGATTTAATGGATGAATTTTAAAGTAACATTTTGCAACTAGACATAGAGAAGGAATCAAAACTTTAAAACGACCAGATCTGTAGAAACTCTTATGCTGAGGTCATATTTCCAAACCGGGGCCCGGCCGGGCTGTTTTGATTAACGAAAAATCATCAGATTTTATCAAGAATATACGTAAATAGTTCCATTATGATATTTTCCCCACTTTTTTGTGCTTTGTTGTCTTCTATACCCTATTTTTCGTTATATAAGATTGTCCGGCCGGACCCCGGTTTGGAAATGTGATCTCAGCATTACAAGCCATATGGTTTATCTGCAAGTGGCAACAAAGAGATGAAACTTATCCCTATCTTACTGTACCCGTACAGGACTTACAGTGACTTTAGATGTACAGTATGCAAAGGCTGTAGGCAGACAGTTCATCAACGTACTGTATACTCCGACTGTGGCTTTCCTCCGCGCAACAGAGGGACTGTGTGGATTCATGGATGATAACGTGGAGAACGACTTCTGTGGTCCTGATGGCACCATCTACTCAGACCCTGTGCTCTTTGCAGAATCGTGTAAGTGACAGTTATGTCTTACTTCGCAGAACGAAAACACCCTGTGGTATGCGGTTATTTACATTATGTAGCAAGTAGCTGTAGCGAGGCAGGGTTGGAGGTCACGATATGTATCAGATACGTCTAAAGTAACGTCTAATAAAAATAAACAGAGCTGAATGTTGTTAGGCAAGACCGTCACCATGTGAAGGTAAACAATATTTATTTGCTTTGCATTTCAAGTTGTAACTGTAACGTTACTATACGTTGGAGAAGGTGGACAACTGGTAATTACGAATAAGCTGGTAACTTAAAGCTACACAAGAAAATAGTTGCTTAACCAACTGGATAGATTAAAAAAAAGACTGCTAGCGTTTCAAGTAAGATCCACTACTTTTTGTCAGTGAGTGGCTGACGGAATCTTTAGTAGAGCAGGTATTTACTATTTTCCCCCAAAAATTAATTATTAGTAAGTAAAAACAGAACTGGTGAATGGTTGAAGTTGGTGTCACCCTTGTATTGATATAATCTGTCTTTGCTATGAAGGGAGGATCTCTAAATCCCATGATGCTGGAGGCCTCTATGGCAGTTGGTCATGGAACATTTCAAACTTCCACGCCAGTGACGTCATGGATAGTTCTTACACTGACCCGACACACGTCCCCATTTACTCCATCGACGGTCTTCCTAAAGAGCAAATCCTGGTATGTACTTGTTTCCGCCATACTTGCTTCTTATAGTTGTATTCCTAGGCCTAACGTGAGTGTTTACAATGTAAATTGACAGCTCAGTTTACGTTGATTAGTATGTTGTGTATTCAATCTTTATAACAACATAGCCAGCGAGAAAAAGTCGATTTTACTTATTGACAGCAGACTATAGTGCTAGTGCTAGCATGACCATGTGTATGTACTGTACCCATTATTTGATGTACATAGAAGCTAGTCTTCTGTTTGTGACCTGTACCTACTCCAGTGGGTATGTATGTACACTATACTAAATGTCTTCATTCACTCAATCTTCACGATATTGATAATGGTGTAATTTACATAGAAACCTTATTGGTGAGAAATTGAACTTACAGCTATCCGCCTGTCTGCTCGGTTGCCCATTAGTGTTATAATGTCCTCCCCATCACTCACGGCTGCATGTTTCACCTAGTTGGCTACAAAGCTGTGTGAGGGTCTGGGAATCAGTGGCAATCTTCTGGCAGGCTGTATTTATGACGTGTCTGTGACCAACGACAGCACCCTACTTGAGCAAGAATCATTGAAGACAGGTAAGGCCGCCATAAAAAATTCAGATGTTTCACCTTTTAAGATAAAATATTAGAGCTGATTTAGATATGTGTATGAAAAGTAAGTAAAACAAATATGATTCTGTTATTGTTTGTCAAATCTATAACTGCTTGTTTTGATCTTTAGGCTGTCCGTCTCAGTGTTCAGGGAAAGGCCGATGTGTCAATTCAAGCTGTGAATGTCTGGATGGCTGGTCAGGGGCCGACTGCAGCAAAGGTTGTCTTTAAGTTCATTTTTTCTTTCTGTTGCATCGAATTATCACAGCATATATGGGTTTTGTCTCATTTAGATTTGTGTGCTGACAACAATATTATGGTCATGGAATGACATGAATATAATATACAGCTGGTGGATGTAAAAGTGCTCACACAATGTAGTTCCTACAAGTTGTAACATCAAAGAGACTTACTGACTGTCTTTATGTGCACGTTATGTACAGGTGAAGAAGAAATCGGTTGTTCAAATGTTGCTTGGATCTTAACAGCGCATTAAATCATTATATGGCACAGACATTAGAGACCTAGATTGAATTGCAGAAAACTAGATTAATGTACTTAGTTTGTGAGTTACAAATATGTATTCATATATTAGTCGAACTTGAGTACCAGTTAGTATCCTTAACCATGCATATGTCTAGGATCTTGCGGGAACTGCTCTTTCGGCGAATGTGTGTCTGGCTTCTGCGAGTGTGTGCTCGGATGGGAAGGCACAGCCTGTGATCAAAAGGGTATGTTTTTCTATATTTATCTTGTCGATGCAATATGAAGTAGTACAGGTCCATAACATTGATACAATGTCAAGACAAGAATAGATATCTGACGTCCTATTTCCATCATTGGTATAGAGATAGATCAATCATGTATTTGATACACAAAGATGACTTATAGGAAGAAGTGCCCGTTGAGTTATACAAGTGCAGGCAATGAAGAAAGGAACATTAGCAACACCATTGAAATGTATTTTGGAGGACAAGATAAGTTAGTATTATCGGAATAGATACGGTATTAAGGTAACTAAAATACTTCCATTTTATAACAGCAACGTGCGATAATGTGAACAACTGCACAAGCCCGGCTAACGGAGCGTGTAAGACAACAGACGTCTGCGAATGTACTCCTGGCTTTATCGGTAAGGGTTGGAACAGAACATTAGAATGAGCAGTGAAATGCATGCAGCATATGTGCGTCTGATGAAATATGTAGCATCATCATCAAGCCCCTGTCACACATAGCCGAATATATGGCCTCCCGAAGACTGCCGAACTCACCCGAATCATTCTCAGGAGTAGGTCGGGAGAACGGTTGGCTGTGGATGGCTATATATATTCGGCTAAAAAGTGTTTGGGTGTGGACGGCAATAGTTGGCTACTGGAGTGGGTCTACAGTGGTAGGAGCTTGTTTGGTGGTCAAATTTGAATCAAATTTAAGTCAAATTCTATTCAATTCGTATAGAAAAGTAGGCGTGGCCTAAATCTGATCAGACTACTTCTAAGCATCAGCCAACCTTGGTTGGTTGGTGGTCGAAGAAGCTAAGGTTTTGAATTTGTGACGGGGACTTACATGTATATAACGTGAATTACGTTACACTTGTTATAACTATTATTACATGTCATTGCCCCGTTCTTCACATCGATAAGCCGTTCTTTTGTTTTGAAGAAATTGACTGCAGTGTGCAGGCTACTTGCCTTGCCGTGGCCAACTGCTCCAAGCGGGGAGTCTGTGTCGACTGGGACACCTGCCGGTGTGATAGCGGCTGGGGAGGGGAGAGCTGTTCTCAACCCACCTGCACCGATCTGGACGGATGTTCAGGTACGCTACCGTATACAATACCTTTTTTTGTCAGTGGCTTCGTGTGCTAATGAGTATCATATTCAATGGTTGGTTCTTCCTTCGCTCTATGGTTTGGTGTCGGATAAATTACCATATGAACGACAATCAAGCAGATGTCAGGAGGGAAATACTGGCCGCATGCAACAAAAAGTGACACAATTCTTCACACAGCGCGTTACAGATAATAAATGGTTACAAATATCTTCTGTCCGTTAGAAAGAGCTCATAATACATTACAATTTCACATCTAAGTATATTTATTTCAGCATACATGTAAGTCAAATTCAAGTCGTTAAGGTGACCAATTATTTGAGTCATCACATCCCACAACTAGCTATTCCATTCTTGGCCCACAGTCACCTTTTCAAAAACATTCATTTTCTTGCTTTGTTACAATCTCGCTACCAAAAGGAACGTCTTCTTGCGAGACATAAATGTGCTACTGGATTTCGTGAATTCCTAGGATGAATATCACAAAATCTACATGTATTCATGGACAGAAGTAAAACCCATAGTAATATTTTCAGAAATGTATATGAAATAAGCGTGTACTGAAATAGAGTATTGTCATTGACAATAATAATACCTTCTTATCTTTTCTTGTAACATTCACGTTTTTGTCTAAATACAGGTCGTGGCACATGTGTGGAGTACGATGTGTGTGAGTGTGAGCAGGGCTGGACCGGAGTTAGCTGTGCGCTGCCGGACTGCAGCGGAGTGGGAGACTGTTCCAGACGGGGTGAGTGTGTGGGGCCGGACGTCTGTGAGTGTTACAGCGGGTTCAGGGGACAGAACTGCAGCCTGTCGCTGAACTGTACTGAGCTGGACGACTGTAACGGACAGGGGCTTTGCGTCTTCACACCTGGAGGACAGTCGAATTTTTCATGCAGGTATTTAAAACCACACATGCTTACCAGCAAATGTTTTCTAATGTGATTGTAATCTTTAAAACATTAGGGGGACTAGTGTGGGACTACATTTAAATTTTGTACTCACAAATGAAAATCTTGTCAAATAAATATATACCACCTGTCACTGTTATGGATATATAATGAATATATATTTTGCATTATGTATGTATAGAGAAATGTGTATAGATTTATTAGGGCTTTAAAAATGATGTAATTAACTGTATATTTTGCCTGACCTTTACCTCTTCCCTCATGACCTCAATGAATAGTGGCCTACAGGTCAATTTAAGCTTCTTATGAATAAACAAATCTTCAAACAAAAGTTGAAGAGTTTGTGAGTATTGCTCTATAGGAGAAAATATTGTGGATCAGTCTACTCTGTCACGTTGTTCATTGCTTTCTTTGTGAATTTTTGTTAAAACGTTATTTACTGAAAATCATATCTCGTCTTTCTCAGATGTTATTCAGGTTTCACCGGGACCAACTGTAGTGACGTCTCGTGTTCCGGTGTGAACGACTGTTCCGGGAACGGACAATGTGTGGAGCCGAACCTCTGCTCCTGTGACGCCGGGTTCAACGGGCCCAGCTGCGCCAATTTCTCGTGTGAAGCCAGAGACTTCTGCTCAGGTACGTAATTGTGTTGCTCTCAGGTACTACATACGATGTTTTCATTTTGTTCTATTCTGTTGTTTTATAGTTTGAAGTAATAAATTTTTACATAAATCTTTACAATTCTCAGCAATCAATCATTTGAGATAAGCGCCAATCTATTACAAAATATATCTTCTCTGTTAGAAAGAGTTCATGATACATTACAATTGTGCATCCAGTTCTATTGGCGTTAGTCCGCTTTAAGTCACTAAGGTGCCCAATTATTTAAGTCAAACATCATCACACTTTGACTTTATTTGGATCCACATCTATTCTTGCAACTATTCTTGCACTCACACCACCCATCCAACTATTCCCATATTGGCCCACGATCAGCGTTTTAAAGGCATTTCTTGTGTCAGACGCGCATATTCATGTTTAGATCTTGCATGATATATATATATAATTATATAATGTCAATTTCCTTTTAGGCCATGGGCAATGTGTGGCATACGACGAGTGCGCATGTGACGACTCCTGGAGCGGACCGTCCTGTTCGATCGCAAACTGCAGTGACGTCAACGACTGCTCCTCAAACGGCGTCTGCCTCTTACCAAACACGTGCGAATGCGCGAGCGGGTACGACGGGCCGTCCTGCGACCAGTTCAGCGCTCCCAACGAAAACTCCCCCGTGTTTGCGAACGAGACATTCGTCGTCAGTGTTCGCGAGAACGCACCCGTCGGAACAAAGATCGGCAAAGTGTCTGCAGACGACGCCGACGCAGGACGTAACGGCTACGTCACGTATTCCATTTCACCCGGTAGTGAAGCGGACATGTTTCTCGTTGACGGTGAAACAGGAGAGATTTCCACAATCGTTCAGCTAGACTATGAATCATTGGCTAAAAAGACCATATCTCTCGTTGTTGTTGCAAGAGACAAAGGTGTACCGTCTCTGTCTGCCTCGGCGGCTGTTGAGGTGGCCGTACTGGACACGAACGATCACTGCCCAACTTTCCAAGAGGACTCCACAAGCATCCAGCACACTCTTCGACCTGGCCAGTCACTAAACATCACGGCTACGGACAGAGATAGTGGCGTCAATGGCAAGGTTACGTACTCAATCCTAGGAGAGGGAAACAATGGCAGGTATTCTATCAACGAGTCGACCGGCGTCATAACCTTACGTGACGACATAACACCGGGAAGGTATACCTTCGTTGTTGTCTCTATTGATCAAGCAGCCGTCCCCTGTTCTTCTCGCCTCACGGTAACTGTGATAGTTGAGGAGGAGGGTATACCCGTACCCGAACAGGTACTGTCGTCGACAGTTGAAACCCGCGCTTCCAGCTCGCCAGTAGTGGATGTATCGAGTATAGTCCCAACACAAACGTTCATGACGCCAACGCCACAACCCACAGCTGCAGCTTCAGCGATGGCAAGAACGGGTACAATTGCGTCTTCATCGGCTACATCATCGCCAATAAGATCGCTGATTTCGCTGCAGCCATCGCAGGTAATGTTCACGGCCAGCAGTGTACGCCCTACTCCATCCACCGTGGTTGTTCTATCTGCCATATCTACAAAAGACTCATCGCCAACACTGGAGTCATCCGAACTACAGCAGACTGCACCATCTCCAATGTCTGTAACTGACCAAGCAGGTCTCCCATGTTCAATACAGTATCTAAGTGTCCAAGTATCTCCGATCACGGTGACTGTGACAGCTGTGGAGAGTTTACCTGTTCCGGTACGTGAAACGGTAAAGGTGACAGCTGTGGAGAGTATACCGGTACGCGAAACAGTAACTGTGACAGCTGTTGAGAGTTTACCGGTACGCGAAACGGTAACTGTTACAGCTGTGGAGAGTATGCCGGTACGTATACGCGAAACCGTTAAGGTGACAGCTGTGGAGAGTGTTCCCGTACGCGAAACGGTAACTGTGACAGCTGTGCAGAGTATACCGGTACGCGAAACGGTAAAGGTGACAGCTGTGGAGAGCCCGGTATGCGAAACGGTAACTGTGACAGCTGTGCAGAGTATAGCAGCACGCGAAACGGTAAAGGTGACAGCTGTGGAGAGTATACCGGTACGCCAATTGGTAACTGTGACAGCGGTGGAGAGTATGCCAATTCGCGAAACGGTAACTGTAAAGGAGAGTATACCCGTACGCGAAACGGTAACTGTGAAGAGTACGCCGGTATGCGAAACGGTAACCGTGAAAGCTGTGGAGAGTATACCGGTACGCCAACCGGTAACTGTGACAGCTGCGGCTAGTATACGAGTACGCGAAACGGTAACTGTAACGGAGAGCGTACCCGTACGCGAAACGGTAACTGTGACGGAGAGTATTCCCCTACGGCAAACGGTAACTGTGACAGCTGTGGAGAGTATACCTGTACGCGAAACGGTGCTGTCGACTGTTCAGTCATGCTCTTCCACCATATCCCCATCACGACCGACCATGACTCGAACACCCGCAAGTTCAGCGGTCCCAATGCTGACTTCCCCAACCAGCACAACAGAATCCCCGACTGCTGGATCAGAATTCCTCCTGAGGAATGTGGACATGTCAATGGTTCTGGATGAGGCATGGGATGAGGACCTGGCATCACAGTCGTCGGAGAAGTACAAGAGGCGGTCGTCAGACATTGCGGTTGCAGTAAGTGTGATATTTTTTTGTTCAAATACAACATTTCTGGAAATGAAAGAATCATATCTAATAAAAATATTGCAGATGAACTTCACTTTGTTAGAACTTCTCCCACTTATAAAAAGGAAAGGAATAAACTGTTACAGACTATTACTACCAAGACAAAGTTCACCCTCTCTGGTACACAGGACGATACTATCCATAATATAGTGGAATAGTCTTATTTCTTAATTTTAGATAAGAGTGTAATTGGGTGGATGATACGATCGGTTATAATTCATGCAAATGAGGCTCTCATAATTTGCATAAACACCGAGAAAAAAATTACGTTGTGTACTTCTAGCAACGAAAATTCTCTATTACCAAAATGACGTCTGTCTTTTTTTTTCCAGATGTCGTCCGTGTTTAGGAATGAATCGCGGTTTGTTGGGGTTATCGTCACACGGTTCAGGTAAACTTACTAACGGTATCATCGTGGGATCGTGTGGCGTAGCGGCAGAGTGCGCGACTCGGAACTAAGAGTCCCGGGTTCTGACATGCCACCGATCTTGTGCCCTTAGGAAAGGCACTTTACACGACTTTCCTCACTTAGCTCAGGTGTAAATGAGTATTGTCCTGTCATGTATTTGTCCCCTGTGTTGCTGGCAGCTTTAATATAAGTTGAAAAAACTTGAGTGTGTCGTCACCACGTCTGGTGATTACATGTTGGAATTAAAAAAAAAACGGTATCATCTTCAAAGTTCAGCTGTGTTGATCAAAGTTATCACCAAGCAAGTTTGAACGTTATTCTTCCAACACATGTATAAGAAATCGAAATTCCGACTGTACAACTCGAGTCTTTGTCAAGGAATGAGCAATTCACTGCTTCTGTGACGTGCACGTTATGCAGAGAGACTCAATAAGCAGTGGATCATAGGTTGCAGAAAGTCTGTGACGCCTCCCGTCTTTTTTTAATGATGCTTTAATATGTTCCGTTTAAAGTTTCAGCTTGCTTTGTAATGACGGTATTTGCATACTTATAATATTTTCATCTCAAATTAAATTTTGTGATGACGTGCTGGTTGATTTAAAGCGTTTTCATCGGTACAAGACCATATAAGTAAAGGAAAAGTAAGCAGATGTCAGGAAGGAAAGACTGGCCAAATGATACATGAAATGACGCAATTCTATACCGAACGTGACTGCTAATAAACTATTACAAATATCTCCTCTATGCGAGCTCATGATACATTCTAAATGTGACTCTAAGTCTAGTCTTCTTAGCATTAGTCCAATTCAAGTCACCAAGTTGAAGCATTAGTCACACATTGCCATCCAACCAACAAACCAACAAACCAACAAACCATTCCCACCTTGGTCCCAGTTGGTGACAGTTTTTTAAAAAACCTAAGCCATTTCTGTTTTCTCAGGGAAGGGAGCACTATCGCCGATTTTCAACTACTGCATAATGGTGGGGAGAACTTTGACGACGTCGCGGCGAGCATGTTGAGGCAAGCTACAAGAAACGGTCTGCAAGTGGGAGGGGCGAAAGTGACTCAGCTGGAACAGAAAGGTGTGCTGGTACCTAATTTTGCATGCTTGCTATCATTAGATACATCTTCCGTTATGGGGCTCACTAAAAAGTACATGTACGCTTGCTGAGTCGCTTGACATGATGCGTCAGAAACGGATACAATTACTAGCGTAGTGTCCAGTCTATCGTGGTCTGGAGGGCTCCCTTCGGGCATGTAGGCTTTCCCCGCCGCCAAGTGCAGCCTGCCTCTTCGGTAGGTTTTTAATGGTGGGAGTTAAACCCCTGCCTTGCAGGGAAAATAAACCATACCGTCCAATACCGGAGAGTCTAGTTGAACTAGGCTGCTGGTAACCTCTACAGCGTCCGCCCAAACCACCATAGACTAACCACCAGAATAACGTGCAACATGTATACATTTCGTGGTAACATGTTGATTAAACATACAGCTGTTAACCCTAAACAGTACACCTGGGGTCCGCGCGGACCCCAGCACTATATATTCTGTAATATCTTTTTTGTTTCTAAATATTTTTTTCTGAAATTTTAGGTAATTGTCAACCACAAAGTTGTCTCTCAATACAGTGCAGAAAACTCCGTTTCTACCATTTATAACAAGTATGATGTTTTTAAAAAAACACAGGCGACGATTTTGTGTTTACCTGTTTCGTTCTTGATAAATCGTTCTTTTCATACACGTACACATATAATTTGGAAAGAATTTATAATTTCTGCTACAGTGCCAGGAAAGCCGCCAGGGGTCCAAAATCAGTTAGGCCCAGGCAAATTTATGCTGTGTTTCTTGCAGTTAAAAAATTTGAATCGCTAGATAGGGATTCACTTAATATTTTTAATGTCTTTTAATTTTTTCATAGATTTTTATAATTAGTGATCCAACTAATACAGTGAATATAACACTGAAATGTATAAGTACACTGGTATCTTCAACACTACACTAATTTCGCCCCTAGAGATAAAATAGTGAAACGCGGTCCATGGGTTCACCGTAAATTCCCGAATAAAGTACGCACCCCTTCTGCGCACGGCCGGTGCCACTGTGGACATGTACATGTAGTATATGTATGTCTTAAAAA